AGGGAGCGGGCGGGGAGCGCCTGGCGGAGTGGGGAGCGTGCGGAGCTCCGCGGAGCCCCGGCCCCCGAGCCCTGGCCCCATTCCCGGCCCCGGAATGAGCTTCCCGCGGCCCCTGCGCCGCTCCGTCAGCCTCAGCCCTGCCCGCACCCTGCGCCTTGTCGTCCTGGGGCAGAGCGCCGTGGGCAAGACAGGTAGGACGGGGCTCCCCGGCATGCCCTTGCATCCCACTGCGTCCCTCAACATCCCCCCTGCTTCCCCCGGCATCCCCCCGAATCCCACTGCATTACCGCCCAGCAGCCCCCCGGCATCACCCCGAATACCCCTGCATCCCCCCAGCGTCACCCTGCATCTCCCTGCATCCCCCTTGCATCTCACCCCATTCCCCCGAGTCTCCTTCCCCAGAAATGGGATCCAAGCCCCTGGGGGGGTCCAGCTGGGTCTGTTTCAGAAAGCTGGGATAAAGAATGAGTTTCTCCGGGGTGGCTGCAATATCGCCCAGGTGGACCCCCGAGCCCATGATGTTTAAGGGCACAAAGTTTTCCTCCCCTAGAGTTTTAGCGCTGGGCACTTTGCAGCCAGGGGCTTATGCCAGGTGGCACCTTGCTGTCTCTGGGAGCTTCCGAGACTGAAAGCCAAGCTCGGGTTTGTGCTTTATCGAGTACTTTGAATTTGCTGCTTGCCTTTAGAAAAGGGGTTTTCAGAGCCCTGTGGTCCAGCGCTGCATTTAGTTTTCCTTTAGGAAAACTCCCTCCCCCTGTACTTTGCTCAGTGTTCTCCATCTGTGGCTGCCAGGGTGGGGATTTCGGGAGCTGAACTCGGAGTACCTGAGCTCTCCTTCACCCCCACCCTGCCCAGGGATCATCCTGCCACCCCTTCCCACTCCCCTGGCCGAGTACCTGGGGACAAAGGTGACCCCTGCTCCTGTGCAGCACCCAGCGTGCCAGGAGCAGGGATGAGAGGTGCCAAAGGTGTGTGTCTGCACAGGTCTGCCTGGATTTTATTGCAGGAGAGCAGCCATCCACGCAGAGCCGGGGGGGGGACATGACTGGGGGTGCCATGTCCTTGGGGACAGAGCAATGTCCTGCCGGCTTCCCACTCCGGAGGAGGTACAACCTTTAAATACACTGCAGCAGTGCCACCTTGGCCTGGCTGGTGGCCAGCGGCTTTGGCTGTCGGTGCTGCTGAAGTTGTGTTTCCATATACAGTCACCGGCGAGCCTCTCGCCTCACTGGACGGTGAGTTCCTCTTGCCCAGTGATAGTGAAAAATGATGATTTCCATGATTAAATTTAAAGAAGCAACTCCCAGATCTCAATTAGCAGCCCGGGAGTGGGAACATGGGAACAGGTCTCAGCTCTGGGCATACCCAGAGCACCCGAGGGGGGGGTCTGTGCGTGGTGTCTGGCCTCGAAGTCCCTGCAGAGCAGATGGAGCTGCGAGCGAGGGCTGTACAAAGCGTACCAAGTGCTTTTGGCTCGTCCCCCCAACCCCGGCCTGCGCATCTGTGCTTCCCCCGCTGGCGTTCAGCCCACCCAGCATGGAGTGGGGGCCTGGGAGCTTCGGGCCCTTCCTGCAGGCAAGCAAGAGGCCATTGTGCCCCCTCCGTGGGGTTGGATCATGGCGAGGGTCTTTAGTTACTCCAGCTGCAGTCAGCCACAGTGCCCTCCTCAGTGGCTGCCATGGCAGGGCTGGGTATCAAGCAGCCCTGGGGAAGGGCAGGCGTGATCCTCCCCGGGCTGGCAGCCACCATGAGGCAGGTCTCTCCCTGTCCCTGTCCCCCTGGGGGCTGTCCTGCACGTCCTCTCCTGCAAAGGGCACTGCGCCTGAGCTGCTGGGTCCTGCTGCCTGTGAGCCCCTGCACCAGATGGAGCCAGGGAAGAGGAAACCTCGAAGGGCTGTCCCCTGCCCGGTGGGGCACTTAACACCCTGGGTATTGGACCATGAGCATGAAATGCAAGGAAGGTGTCAAAAGCATCAGCATTATTGCTCGAGGTCCTGTGGGGCTGCGGGAAGTGGTGGGGACTGGTCTCTGAGGTAGTGGAGAGATGGGGCTGGCTGGGAGAGGAGGGGGCGCGATGGTTTGGGATCCCTATTTTGGGTAGGAGCAAGGTGGGTTTCACCCATACCCATCCCTGAGCTGCCAAGCTCCCAGTCCTGGCAGGATGTGAGTGGACCAGAGCATCACCTGGGTGAGCTGCTGGCATCTGCCTCTTGGGAAGCAGAAGCCAGGTTGGGAGAGCTGAGGGGGCTGTGAACCATTAAAATCTGTATGGCTGCAAAAGGGAGGAAAAAAACCCCACATTCTCAGCAAGAGTTTGATTTTTTTTTTTGGAGCAGTTTGGAAATCTTTAAAGATCTGGTGTCTGAGGACCCAGATGCCCCAGGCAGGGATGGGTTTGGGTGCAGACTGAACCCCATCGGTCGTTTAAAGGTTTGGCGTGGGCTGTGTAAGTCAGCTGCAAATCCAGGCCAGCCCAAGCTCAGCTCTGCTGCTGTTGATGCTGGCCAGTGCAAACTTCGCCATCCTTCAGCGGAAAGCTCTGCTAACAAAACACACACCGAAGATTGATTGAGTTGTTGCTGCAAGCCCTTGTGCTCGCGAGAGAGATGTGTTATGCACAGCATAAACAGAGCAGCACATGGGGCTCAGTGTGATCCTGGGGGTACCCGGCCCAGCCCCGCACCTGCAGGTTACACCAAAACATCCCGTCGTCATTCCTAGAGACTGAAATTAATTTGTAATTAACCCTCTCAGCTTTGGGGCTCACCAAGGAGAGCCCTTTCTGAGGTTAGTTATGTGCAAGATGGGGAAAAGAAACCCCTTACAAGACTGGGTGGATGTGCTGATGCCTCTGTGCCTGCATCCACCCCTTCCGATCGGCAGCTTCGCTCGTGTTCTTGTGCTCCAGCCAATTTTTAATCAATTTAATTGGCTCCTCGTCTCTTACAACACCATGTGCTCCGGCTTTGGGTGGCTGCCTAACATATGACACAGAATCAGGTGCTTTCTAGACCTCGAGCCTGACTTGTTTTGCTCTCCCCCTGGTAAATCAGTTGCCTCTTTGAAGATGCTGGTGTGTGTCGCTGTGGGATCCTTGGTTATCTCCACAGAACAGTTTTGCTAAATTACATCCCTGTTCCATCAAACCCCTTCTCTGCTGGGCAGGGTTTGAAATCCAGAGGCAGCTTGGAAGGCAAGAGGATGGAGAATGCCCCAAGCAGGAGCCGGGCAGGTGTAGGGGGGCAGGAGAAGCTGCCTGGGGCAGAGTTGCTGGGGCTGAGGAAGCAGAAAGCCCGGCTCGGGTGGGCAGCCACATTCTTGGGGTGAATGCATGGATCCTGTCCAGTGTGGGTGTGCAGTGGCAAGACGGGAGTGAACCTTTGCTGACAGCCAGCTGGGACAAACTGACCCCATATTTGTATGGGAAAAGCAGGCTCGGTGTGGGAGCGCATCAGTCCTGCTTGGTGTCAGCTTTTCATCAGCACCTGGAGCTGTTGAGGTGGCTTGATTCCGTATCCTGGTCCTGGTGAGGTTTATTCTCCCTTCGCCCTCCTGCTCTGTTTCCTTCCTCCTGGTGCGGTTTCTCCATCCTCCCCCTCCTGGGCTCTGCACTCCTGCCTTGTTCTCACTGGATTTGTTTTGCTCCTTGTTCTCACTAATTTTCCACCAATTTCCCTTTCCGCTCCTGTTGCCTTCCCAAGCCAGCACTCAGCCTCTCCACTGCCTTTCGCTCCCTGGCTGTACCCATCACTGTCATTAACATCTTGAAGGGCTTCAGCATCACTTCCATTAGCTGTGAGCTAATGAGCTCCTGATCTCCCTTCCACTTCCGAGCCACCAGTTTCTCTGTCTATGCCAGAAAAATCACACCCAGGCATAAACGGTTCGTTTTCAAAGCAGCTATGTTGGGAAGACATTAGGCACATGAGAGTTTTGCTTTGAACCGCTGTATCTGCAGCACCCAGGCAGCCTGGGACGTCATTTGAATTAGCGGAGACCTCGAGGAGCAAGCGTGGAGCTTCGTGGTGCTTCCTCACTCTTCCCAATGGCAAAGAGCAAGAAGTTTGTGAAGCAACATCTGAGAGGGTGTTTGCGCTGCTGCCGATTTTGCTTCCCAAAACACAGCTCTGTAGGGATGATCTGAGGGCAAGGGATGACCTGAAGCTTTGCTTCAAAGCAAAAACCACATCTTCAGCCAGCTCTTCAGCACCATGTTCCTGCATCTGCCCTCAGGATGCTGCTGGCATCGCTGCCCTCTTCCCAAAAATGAAGCTGGCTTGGTAGCATCTCACCAATGCGTGGTGGCATCTCGCCTGCTTCTGCCCATTTTCACAAGTGCCAGTCTCCTCTTGTCACCTCCCCATGCCACCCAGGGTGCTGGCACGAGGACTGTGATGGCACTGCCATGGCCCTGGGGCTGCTGCAGTGTTGGGGGAGGCTTTCCTGTGTGCCAGCTCTGGAGCAGGAGCCCATGATAAAACCCAGCACTTACCAGGGCAGAGACAGATGTGGTTTTGTGTTGCTTTGGCCACATTGGAGACATTTAGCAAAGCAGGATATTCAACCCCTCCAAATGGCTTCATTACTCAGAAAACCTTTGCTTTTCCCACCTCGTTTCCCGTTCCTGGCCATTTGCCTGCTGAGCTCAGCCCCCACTGTAGACCCCATTGCGGGAAATACCTGTCTGGAGACCTTGCACAATGGCAAAGCTTTTGGTACCCTGTACGGAAAAGTACAACAGTCTCTCTCTGATTCTTGTTTGCAGTCTCCAGAGAGCTTGCCCACCTTGAACAAGCGCTTGCTCTGGAGACGAGGTCTGCCTCCTGCAACGAGGAGAAAGCCCTTGCCACATTTGATGGAGCTCTCGGGCAAACCTCCAGCATCACCAGACCTCCCCCCAGCCCCGCATTAGAGTAATTTGGGCTTTGCATCTCCCAGGCTCTGGTGCAGGGAGATGCGGTAATCGGATAAGAGAGAGTTAATTGCCCACTCTGCCGTGCTGCGGCTGTTCCTGCCTTTCCTTGCCCTGGCAAGGAGGAAAAATGGGGCCAAATGAGTCAATCTCCATCTTGATGCTGTGCAGACGGAACGGGCAGGGGTGTTTTTGCGACGGGGGAGTTGCTTCATCCCCCTGCGTGCCAGAAAGCAGCCAAGGGAGCAGTACTCCCCACAAGGATGAAATGGTGTCAGTGGTCCCCGCTTGTGCCTCACATCCCTGTGCTGGGGACACGAATTCCCAGGCGCAGGTGATGTGTCCACCCCAGGGACTGGTCCTCAGGGCATCTGCTCAGCTCTTGCTTACCCACCTCCTGCTTGTGTTCCTCCAGTTTTAATCTCTTGATGAATTTCATGAGATCTGGTGCCAATGGCTTTCCTTTCTCCACGCCTGGTTCAGATTAAACAAACAGCACTGAAATTCATGGCACCCATCCGGGCAGTTCCAGTGAAAGAAGGAGAGAGCCTGGGCTGCCACACTAAGTGGTTTGGCTGGTGGCCGCCGAGAGGATTGCTCACCTGGCATAAGAATTCAGCACGGGCATAAATCTTTGCAGGATCGAGGCCAGAAAATGCAGTTCATCAACACTGACCCAGTGAATTCCATGTGTGAGGAGCCACCTCTCACCTGCACCTCTGGGTGCATCTGCAGGGTGCAGCTTTGCCTGCTGCCGTCTGCTGAGCGCGGTGAAACGCTTGTGCCATGGCCACCTCCTGCCGAGCCCAACCACCTCTGTCTGCTGGTTTCAGGGCTCCCAAGCTGCTGTCTCCACTCGACCTGGAAGGATGTTTTTGACAGCAGCAGCGCAGGAGAGGTTGCTGTGCTCTGGTGAGGCAAGAGATTGGGTTAGCCGAATCCTGGTGTCCTGGTTCTGCTGGGCCGGAGTTATTTTCCTCACAGTAGCTGGGACTGATATGATAACGTGTCAGTGTTTACATACCTCAAGGTTTGCTCTTCAGTCTTTCACCAGCACCTGTGGTTATAGTTTCTTTTGTGGTTTTCTTCCCCCTTCTCTCTGCATAAGAGGATGGGCGAGAAGGAAAGCCAGGGATTCTCTGGGACGGGTGACCCAGGACAGATGATCTGGATATGACCCAAGTGGACCAATAAAGATGTATTTTATCCCACAAACTTCACACACACTATAAGTTGGGGAGTTTGCAGGGAACAACCCCTTCTTCCCTTCCCTCTCTTCTTCATGATGGTGAGGGGATCTCATCTTCAGGATGGGGAGGGCTCTGGAGAACAAGCCTGATGAGGAGCGGCTGAGGGAACTGGGCTTGTTTAGCCTGGAGAAGAGAAGGCTGAGGGGAGACCTCATCACCACCTCCAACTGCCTCAAGGGAGCTTGTGGAGAGGTGGGTGCTGGGCTCTTCTCCCAGGTGATGGGGGATAGAACAAGGGGAAACGGCACCAAGCTGTGCCAAGGGAGGTTCAGGTCAGAGAGAAGGAGGAAGTTCTTTACTGAGAGGGTCGTCAGAAGCTGGCACAGGCTGCCCAGGGAGGTGGTGGAGTCACCATCCCTGGATGTGTTTAAAGAGCGGGTAGACGAGGTACTTAGGGATATGGTTTAGGGGGTAGACAGGAACGGTTGGACGTGATGATCTCAGAGGGCTTTTCCAACCGAGCCATTCTGTGATTCTGTGATTCTGTGATTCCTTCTCTTCCCTTATCCTGTGCGATGATGTCCTGTCTCCATTCCTGAGGCTCACCCCTCCCTTGTCGTGTTGGCATTGCCGTATGGCCACTGGCTGCTGCTTGTGAGCCAAGTATAACTTTGATTGCTTTATTGTCATTGTTCCTATTCTAATTACAGTTCATTGGCTGATTGCTTTATTATCATTGTTCCTATTCTAATTCCAGTTCATTGGTATTATTATTACTATTTCAGTTCAGTTTATTTTAATGATTAAATAGTCTTTATCTCAACTGATGGGTTCTTTTACTCTCCCGATTCTCCCCCCAACCCCACTGGGGATGGGGGGCATTGAGCGAGTGGCTGTGTGGTGTTTAGCTGCTTGCCATGACACCTGGGAAGTTCGCTGGTGCTTTCCATTGCTGTTGGGCTGTGTTTCATCGATGTGCTGGGTGTTTTGCTGCTGACAAGGAGCAGGCAGCTTTGGGCAGAGGTGCCTCGTTTGTCGGTCATGGAACTGGACATCCCATCGCGTGGTGGGTTTTAGTCCTCAAGGCAAATATTTGCAAGGAACATGCAAAACCCATCTAGCCTTTTCCTGAGGCTGCACTGAGGTTATTTTGAAATGCCCAATGTCTACAAGCTCTGGAAGTTGTTTAGGCTGGGTAGGGGACGTGAGGTGCAAGCTGTTAGCCCGGGTGGGCTCGTGCCCATCCTGACGTGCTTTTCCCACATTGTACATGGGGTAAAGCAAGGCAGAGGACAGTCTGTGCTGCCACTGAGGAATTTGGGGGGGGAAAAGCAGGCGTGGAACTATCTTGGTCCAAGGCACCCACCTGGGCAGCTGCGATTCTTTCTCCATCTGCTTCACCCTCACCTTTTGCCACCAAGATCTGGCAATTTGCTGCTTTCCTGTGGTCTTCTCTGGTCATCACGGGGC